AATTTTCCAGACCACTTTTGGTCTGCATATGAGCAAAATAAATTGCATTTTAAATATCATTAACATCAAAAATTATCTTGCAATTTTTCAGACCATGGTTGGTCTGGAAATATGGGGGGGAAAAAAAAATCGTCAAAACTATCTTCTACTGCACTTTTCCAGACCGAAATTGGTCTGGAAAATTATATTTATTTGCTGTAATTTCCCATACCATTTTTGGTATGCATATCTCCAAAAATGCAATGCATCTAGAATACCACATATAAGTACAGAAATTATTTTGCAATTTCAAACCATCATCGGTCCGGAAATATGGAAAAAATAAAAATAAAACACCTTCATCTACCTTGCATTTATTTTTTTTAGGGAAAATATTCAGACCACAATTGCTTTGAAAATGTTTCGTGGGTTTTATTGTATTGCCGCCAACAATTTTCATACCGTTTACGGCTGAATATTGAAAACTTATAATGACTTCTATATCAATCAATTTTTAAACCAAGTGTGATCTAAATAAATGTTTTCTCAGACCAAGGTTAATTGGTCTGAATTATTTTGGCATGAATATTAACAATTTTTGGTCGTGTGTATATATTAATTTTGACTCTCCAAAAAATTAGAGTCTCAATTTCAAAGACATCATCTTTCAAGGAATATTTTGAAAAACTAATCATTAAATTCAATATTCTATTTACGTGAAACACTCTTGAAAATGGAAAAAGAATCATTATCAAAAGGAAATTGTATTTTATAGGATGTGATAAATTTGGCCTTGATAAGTGAAAGTTCCTCTTGGCAACAGGTTGAGTACCCTTTAACTCCTTAGCAATAAAATTATATGTTGACCGACTAAAAAAAATGGAATATGATTAAAATATCATTTGATTCAACACATTACACAACATACTCATTAAAAATTATTATTTTTTGGTCTAAAATTAAATACAAATAAATTTAAAAATACAATCATGCATACAAATTACAAAAACTAGGCAAACCAACTATACTTAAATTATATTTTAATAGTTAAATTAGATACTATTGAAA